AGGGCGAGCGCACCGAGGGGCGCGCGACATTCTCCGCCTGTCCGGGAAGGCGCGGCTGTCTGTGAGGGGGCGGCGAACCTCCTGGGTTGTGTTTGGGGTTTTAAAATGTGGTTCAGCCCCTGTAAGTTCGGCCACGTGTGTTCTGTGGGAAAACTCATGTATGCTTGCGTATTTGCCTGCATGGGGTTTTGTAGTTGCGTTAAAAAAAAATTTTTTTTTTTGGCATTCCAACGTGTGTTTTGTTACATTTGTCTTGCTCAGCTGTCATTCTGAATTAATATTCCCCAGATAGATGTGATGTAAATCTGTGGCAGCCTCGATATAGCTGTGCAGAATGTTTCTTCCCACCTCCCCCTTCTCTTCCAATACACATGTGTTAGCCTTTATTTGATGCATGTAATGGGGAGAGGAATGCAGGGTGGAAAGGCACTGGATAAATCGGGCAGTCGTTTATTTGTGATAACTAAGAGGATGTTTTTAATGTTTGTCCCTTCTCCCTCGTGTCGAGTTTGTTCTTTGAACAACTTTGGAACTTCTTCAGCTTGGAGCTGAGCCCACGAGCCAGAAGGCTCACACTCCTGTGTGTTCCAGAGGTATCTGGAATGCACACCTGGTACTTCTCCCTTGGTATCTGCAGCTCACGAGAGTAAATACAAAGTTATCAGGGAGGAATACGGTAAGTAAAACACCACTCTGAACTCATGAAGCATGTATGGCCTACAACACCTGGGACAGGTGTCTGCTGCTCACTTTCCAGCTACAACTCTGCTGGTTGAATTTCCTTTAGACAACTCGTTTAAACTTTCCAATCGATGTCACCATCTTCCAAGTGGAATTGACAGTATTTGTCTTTCCATTTCTATGTTAGCTAATGACGCCATATATTATAGGTTCAGTGCCAGGGCAAGAATGAGAGACTTAGGAATAACTTGCATCAGTCAGTGTTGTCTGGTGAGAGCAGGCATGGGTTTGATCCTCACCTTCAGAATATTCAGGGGAGACCAGTCTCTGGGGTCACAGTTAGGGTATCTTAGGCTGTTTTGCAGGATAGTCATGTTATTCTTTGGGCTGAAAGGCCTTTGGATTAGTGGGTGAGCACCAGATACTGCCAAATGTTCTCTCGCCAGATATTTGATAATCAGATAAAAATATAAGGGCCAATGTGTAGCCTAAACTATGCACTAAAAGGGACTGAAATGGATCTTGATTGGCTCTCTCTCAAGACCAGAGCTGGCCTTTCCTGTTTATCTGGCTGAAATAATGAAAGAAAAATCTCCATTTACACAGAACCAAGTCACCAGAGAGAATTAGAAATCCTCATCCATGGCGCTGCCTGCAGTTTCCAGGAATAGTGCTTACCCTAGTGGCCTGAAATAATTAGGCACCTCGCTCAGCATTTTGCCGTGGACTGGGGATTCATTTAGGCCACTGGGAAAAGGAGGGCCCAGGACTTGGCAGGCGCGCTAGAATCCCATTTCTCTGGTATGAGATACAGCCGGATCGGGATCTAGGGTAGATAGACACAGACAGTCCCATCTATTTTGGGATTCTGTATGTTACGAGGTTCAATGTGATTACTCAAGCCAACCTTTCCCCCCCCTCTTCTTTTTAATATTGGTTTCCATCATAGAATAACTTTTTGTCCTATCACTTTTGAATTTTTTAACATATTTATGTCAGGACTCTTGTCCTTTAAGAGCAAAATTGTTTGCAAGCATGGAGGAAACATTTCTTTGCTGTTTTTCCTAATTAGCTCTCCAGTTCCCATGCAAAGGAGCCCTGGTGGTGTAGTGGTTACATGTTGGGCTGTGTATGCTTTGGGTTATGTTCTACCTGGTCAGCAATTCAAAACCATCACCAGCTCCAGGAGAGAAAGACTGGGCTTTCTACTCCTATAAACAATTACAGTGTTGGAAACCCACAGGAGGTTGCTCTGAGTTAACAATGAGTCGATGGCAGTGAGTGAATGAGTGAGTGAGTGAGTGAGTGAGTGAGTGAGTGAGTGAGTGAGTGTTCCCATGCAAACCATGGATTTTCTGGAACACATAACACAGCAAGTTCCTGGCTTCTTTCATGGATACCTGGTCTACCTCTGTCCCTGGACGATGCATATAGTTAATATTCTCAACTGCTGACAGAAAGGCTGGCATTTTGAGACCACACATAGCCTGTAAGATGACCAGATTTTAACATTGGTCAAGCGGGACACCATTGATAAAACTCATACCCTGGCAAAATAGCCACATGGCAGCCGAAAACTGTATTCCCTAGCTTGTCGTACATTCTTTCCAAAAATCAGGACTTTTTAATAATGCCGTGGGACGTGGGAAAAATTGTTAAAAATCGGGATGGTCCCGCCAAAAGCGGGACGTCTGGTCACCTTACACATAGGCTCCTTAGAAGAAAGGTGATCTACTTACGAAAAGTCAGCTGCTGAAAATCTTGTGGAGTACAGTTCTATTCGGACACACGTGGGGTAGCTGTGAGTCAGCATCAGCCCCAAGGCAGCTAGCACTAGTCTACCTGTGGTTGGATGCACAAAGAGGGGTGGTGCATGCACATTTGGTTTGTACCAGATTACAAGAGAGCACCCGAGATAAACACATATCTGCTTTTAAATGTCAACCAATTTTAATCTTATCCAGATTCTTCCAGTACCTCTCTATAAGAAAAAAAAAAGAATATTACTTTGTTGGCCCTTTCCTTAATAACTTTTGCCAAAGTAGCTATACAGGCTGGGCTTCCATTTACCTATTGCCATCATGCTGTAGTATTTCCTGAGTCGCTGCATGCTAAGTGTTCAGGTTCAAGCGTAAGAGCTAGAAGAGCCTGGGAAAGAGGTCCAGGATGAGGAAGAAGTGCTGAAAGGATGACAGCAGATAGTAAGCAGTGGAAATAATGTCGCAGTTTAGTAGTCCCGGGTTGCTGATGCCCTTATTTTCCCTCTCACTGTGAACCTTTGCCCTGGATAAGGAGATGTTGAATATAGCTCTAAGAAGGGATTAGTAAGAAGAGAATATGAATGTTGGGTTGACAGGTGGGATCGGGGAAGCCATTAAACCACAGGGGCCAACAACCACTCTAGCAGTTTGTCCTCTGCTTTTAAACCCTAGCCATTATATATTTCTATCCTAAAAAGTCTCATGGTAAGTGGTAAGCTATGTTGAGCGCTAATATTTCAGTAGCACCTTGTTGGTGAGTATGTTGTTTCAAATTTGATTGTTTTATTTTGATGAAGGTTTGATTTTGGTAGCTTCATTTTATTTACATATTAGGATCAAGTGTTGATAACTTTAAATGAATTACTAATTGCTAGATGGGAACCTGTAGGTACTTCTAGTCCAAATGGCATGATTATATACAATTAAAAATTACATGCCATTAAAATTACTTGATAATATTTTACTAGTCTGGAGCCCTGGTGGCATAGTGGTTACTAGTTGGGCTGCTAACCACAAGGTTAGCAGTTTGAAACCAACAGCTGCTCTGCAGAAGCAAGACGAGGCTTTGTATTCCCACAGAGAGTTACGGTCGCTGAAACTCACAGGGGCAGTTCTGCCCTACACGTTCACTAAGAGTCGGAGTTGTTTCCGTGGCAGTTTTTATGTTCCTAGCCAAAATGAATATTACTTGTATACTTACAATTATCAAATCATTCATAAAGTTTAGAAATGAGTCCCCATAAATACAAAAAGTAGAAAATATGACCTTAAGTCTTACAGACACGTGAAGTCCGAAGAGGTTGAGAATTCTAAAATAAACAGTCTAGAAACTTTTATGGCAAGTACAATGTGCCATATGCTATGCTGGTTTTTGCTCTTTTTTTTAACCTTGCATTAATTCATTTAAAGCTCATAACAATCCTCTTATGAATTGAATTGTGCTCCTCTCAAACGTTATATTGAAATCCTAACCCTTGTTTGAAATTAAAGAAGTTTCTTTTTTGATGATAATAAAATTATATCAGAGTCAGATGGGTCCTAAACCTAATCTTCCTGAGCATTGTCATAAAAATGAGCAGAGAGAATAGACACACACACACACACAGTTCAGAGGTAGATGCCATGTGAGGACTGTCTACAAGCAAAAGACACCAGTGATTGTCAGCAGTCATCAGAAACTAGAATCAAGGCCAACAGGAGGTGTCAATGTGGCCAACTCTTGAGTTGGACTTTCAGCCTCTCAAACTGTCAGAAAATAAATATCTGGTTTTTTGTTTTGACAGCAGTGGTAACTGAGTCCAACTCTAGGAGATTAATACTTATTTTCTCATTTTATAGAAGAAGAAAATAAGGTGTAGAACATTTATGTGCTCCAGCCCATGCGAAGTAGGAACGGTTGAGCTGGGATTCGAATGTCGATCTGTCTGACTGTGCCTGTGGCAGGCAGTCTTTATCCCTGTTGGTTGGAATGGGAGAGCACATCGGACCCCCTTTACATCGGAGCAGCACGCTGTTCCGGTGGAGAGG